CCCCCCCCCGAATCTCCTTTCCGCCTCCCTCTCCAGGAGGCCGCCTGGATCCGCTCTTGGTCCAAACACTTATGCACATCATATTAAATATGCTTAAAATGCTAAATGAGCAACAGAGGAACATACCTGCTCCATAGGACTGCCACGGTGTCGCTTGCTCGATTGCAGAACATCTGATCCAACCTCAACTGAAGACGACTGTTCACTGCAAACGGCAGAAAACGATGAGGGGAAAGTGAAAGACATTCAGAATAAGACCAAAAAGTCCGCCAGCGGTTCCTTAACTCGAACATAGTTAAGCCAAGGCTTCCAGCTCTCAACCGCTTATCTCTAGTTAGACTCCGTCAGATCCGTAATGCACGCGACCAGCTGCTGACTACTGTTATTGATGGATAACATTTTTATACGTTTTGTGCTTCAAAACTCATACCCTGTCTATGTATGTACACGTGCGGGGAATTATCAGCTCTACAACGGAAGATGCTAGGATATCGATTTTTAGAAGAATTTTTTCTGTCCATTTACGATCCTGCAAAATTTAAACACAGTCTTCACATCTCTACGCCTCTTGTACAACACATTTCACTGTTTTCGCAGAGATTTACAAATAGGAGAATCAGATAAAAAACAATGCTCAATACAAAACACAAAGTCATGCCTCGCGTAAGTCTAGGCCACAGAAGTGGGCACGCGATATCTCAAGTGGGAAATATTCTAGTTCGGGAATCAAGTAAGCGAGAAGTTGGAAGTTGGGAAACGCTTTTTCTGTCCATAAGCTATATTGGAACGTCTCACGTGCGAATTTGTGAAATTTTAGGCACCATTCCGGCTCCACTGCATGAAACTGCGCAGAACACACGATCTTCCCGGTTACTTGCTGAACGACACTTTTTTTTTGTGATGCATGCGATGTTAATCTGTTACCAACGAAGCCAGCAATGATTATAAGCAACAAATTTTTTTGTTTTTTCCCCATAAAAATTAATATTCAGCAAGGCCCCAACATCAAATGCAGTGAGTAACCTTGAAGCTTCATAGACGCGCTTTCTGGAAAAGGTGCTGCCCGGCGTGTGAATT